ATAAACACTAATAATGGTTATATGCATTATAAATGTCTGAAACACATTTACCACTGGCCCTTACCTTAAAAAGATCTTTTTATTTTGTAAAATTTCAAAGAGACACAATAGCAGAGAGAAGAGCATATTGAATTACCAAGTATCCATCATCCAGTTTCAACAATGACCAACTCAGGGCTAATTCCCACATTATTGTGAATCAGATCCCAGATATTTCACACATAAATGTTTCAGTATGTACCTCTAATGGGTAAGAACGTTTAAAAACTTTAACTGCAAAGCCACTGTCACAGCTTAAAAACTGAATAACTCCTTAACAGCACCAAATATCCAATCAGCATTCAAATTCCCCAAATTTTCCCTCTTTTCTTGCTTTAGTTTGTTCAAATCAGAATCCACAAAAGGATTACACGTTACATTTGGTTGATGTGTCTCTTAAGTCTTTTCCAATCTACAGGTTCACGCTCTCCTTTACATGTTATTATTTTTACGTCGTTTTTCCTATAGAAACCTGACACTCTGGATTTTGCTGACTGCATCTCTGCTGTGTTGTTCCTCTCACCTCGGTATTTCTAGTCAGCTGGCAGGCAGATCTAGACAGTTAATCAGACTGAGGTACAAGTTTTCTGACTAGAATATTTCAAGGTGATGTCATATACTTCTGTCAGGAAGGTTGTTTCTTTTTTTTTGATTTAAGATAGATTGTTATTGTGGTTTTTTTAAAAAGAGTCCTTATTTTTTGGAGCTAAATTTGGAAATATTTCCAGCTCAAAGAATCTAAGTCTAGGATTTGCCTCTAAATAATCTGGGAAGTGGGTAGTTATACATAAAACAAAATTAGCTATGCAGTGATAACTGATGAAGCTGCAAAACGTGTACATTAGGTACATTATATTGCTTTCTCTATCTTCGTGTTTGAACATTTCCCTATGATGAAGTTTAAAAAAAAATGGATTGATCACTTAGAGCATGAGAAGACACTCAGACAAATCCAAATTGAGATGCACAATGCAAAATAACTTGCCTGGACTCTTCAAAATGTCAACATCCTGAAAGACTAAAACAGGCAGGCTGGAAACTCCTCTAGATAAAGGATTTTAAAATAACATGATAGTTAAATGCCATGTGTGATAATCAGATTGGATTCTATATCTGGGAAAAATAGCTATAAAGGACATTACTGGAACAAGTGGGGAAATACGAATATGGGATATATACTTAGATAACTATTTCATTAACATTAAATTGCTTGAGTGGCATTATTATACTGTGCTTATACACAATGTTTTAAATGCTTCAAACTGACTGTCATGTTGTGATGTCTATAATTTATTCTCATATGTTTGAGGAGAAAAATAATACACACATATTCAAAGATAAAGCAAATGCGGCAAAATATAAACTAATAAACATTAGTAAAAGTGAGGTACACAGGTGTTCCTTCTGCATCTTTGAAATTTGTCAAAATACAAAATTGAGGTAGAAGAGTTGTTTGATGGATTCAGGTACTGTCAGCTTGATCCATCCATTATAAATTTCACCAGTAGTGAATGATGATCATCACACCTCGATTCATTACTTCATTAGAAGAGATTTACCCTTCATTTATATTGACCAAAAACATGCCAATTGAGACCAAGGAGATAAGGAAATCAGGTTTTGAGTTGTTTATGACTATTACACACTTGACTGCAATTTAATACTTTAAACTATATATAAAGTTAGCTATGGGCAGAATCCCTGGCCATAACACATAAGTCTCGTTTCATGTGTACATAAACCACCTTATTTGACTTAAATGTCTCTCCCTGTATCTTTCAGAAGACTTAGGGTTAAAAAATGAAGAATATATTTAAGTGTTTTACAAAATATTAGCATTGACTTCTCTGAGAATCTTGGGGGGAAAAAATCTTGAAAAGATTTTTTAATTTAGCCCTTTAATAACAATTTTGTAGTTAATATATGCCATGCTTTTTTGATGATCTCTGTTTTTCAGTTATTAATGTTAGATAGTCTGGCATTGCCAACTCTGTCTTTAGGGAAGGAGATTGTAAAGGACAGATAAGGTGGACCAAGATAAAAATGAGCAGACTGAATTTCTGCTATACATACTTATCAAGTAATAAAAATTCCATGCTTGTTGATAGTGACCTCAAAGTTAAGTAAGCAAAGATAAGAGACAAATGAAGAAAAAAGCAGAGAACAGAGAATATGATACATTGCTGGATTAAGGCAAAAAAACTGACACCAGCAACATTACATATAACCTTTTCACCTTTCATGTTTTGAGGAAAAAATTAACATTTTCTCTTCTTCCATCAACTCTGAATTGAAGTAAATAATGCTCCATGCTTAGCATCTGGAAACACTATGCTTCTAAGATTTGCCAAGTTTCCTGTTTTCTAGTTACATATTTACCCAACAAGCTCTACATTTCCCACCATTTTTGGGTAAAATGTGAGTAGCAAGGATAACAATAATGAATGTAAATAATTGTAACATCAGTGTTGTCCACAATATAGAGTGGAAACCAAGAAGGAAAAAAAAGGATGGTCTTGTCCCTAATAAGACAGAAAAAGACAAACGTCTAATAAAAGGCAAAAAAGTGGCAAGTAATATGAATGGTGAGATTTTGCGTGGGGGATGTGTATGTGTGCTGACGATTTAAGGTTCAAGAAAATCTTCATGGAAGGGGGTCTCCCAGAAGAGCAGGCAGATCTGGACATATAAAAAGAAAAAGTGGGTGCATTCCAAGCAGAGTGAAGCACCAAACAAAGGAACAGCGTAGGGTAAGCGTGTGTGCACGTACAGAAAGACAAACACGCAATGACTGGAGTTCAGTGTGAATGGAAGGCGGTGGGACCTAAGTGTGAGTATGAAGGGCTTTAACTGACAGAGCAAAGAAGTTCCCATTTTGTTTATTAAGCAATGGTGAGCCAAAAGTTTCAGAGGACATTAAAATGTAGAAATAAGAAACATAAGATTATATATGTAAAATTAAAAAATTAGACAAATAAGGTGACCCAAATCACTTTTCCTCCTGAAGTATGAAAAGCCAATTATGTGCAAAACAGTATTACAAAACGTGGCTTTGTAGCAATTTCATGATGGAGATTCCAACTTACACGCTCCTCAGTTGTGTTCTATCCACCCTTCTTCATTCTCCAAATGACAAGCAATTTCTATTTTTACAGGATTTTTTTCCATTTTGTATCAGTTTACAAAGCATTTTTAAAAATTTATTTACTTAAATTAGAAAAGTTGCTTTAAGTATACCAAACTCCTCTTTGCTTGAATGAGTCCATACTAGATTTGATAAGACGACACGCTTTTGTATTTTAAGGCAATAACACAGAACTCTGATTGGTATTTTCGGTCACTGGGCAGAGATCAGCATTTGTGCCTTTCATACACAATATCAGTGTCAGAATTGGCCTGAATCATTTGCTGGACATGAATACTTTCCTTCATTCCTATGATTCTGCCTAGTCTTGTGACTAGAAAAAACAAACTTCCGTTACATAATTGGGCTCAATATTTATAACCATTGAAGGTATAGTCAATTGTTTCAAACTATACAACAGAAAATACAAATAATGCCATTAAAAACTTAAGTTACAAAATTTTATTATAAAATTTACATATTCTACAGAAAATTCATATGGTTCTGAAATATATTAAATTCTCAACTATTCTTTACTCTTTTTACACAATACTGGAAAAACACTAGGAAGCAAAATTTTTATTTTTCATTTGGAATTACTAGAGCCATCTATTATACAAATTTAACAAAGAATATTTTGTTTTAGTCTCCTGAATCTATACCTTTGTGTTCTTTTCTTTCTAGCATCCTAGGATTTAGCAAGCAACTCTCGAAATTATCTTCCAAATTTTATTAATTACTTCTCCCCTCATATAATCTTTTCTCAGTTTCTAAAAACCCATAAATTTTACAAAAATTTCATTTTGCTTTCAGTACCTTATAGAGGTAATAATAAAAAGCAGGACTGATGTTCTCCAAATACTTGATAATACTAACCTTTACACAGTTCTTATGTTTTAAAAGTTCATAAACTTTCAAGCATGCATTAAGAATTTAATTCTCTTGTTAAATAGAATTAAACAGGCCATTAAATGTTAAATAGTTTAGCACAACATGACTATATGGGTCATATCTAATTAAACACTATTGACAATGATCAATACTTTTTAAAAAGGGTACTTCTATACAAAGCAATTATGGAGATAGCTCAATTAGAAAACTGAATTCATTTCAGTTAGCGTAGATTTAAATTTCTCAAAATAAAAATGAAATACTTAGCTGTAAATCTAACAAAATATGTGCAGGACTTGTATTCTGAAAACTACATAATGCTGATGAAAGAAAGAAAAGAAGATCTAAATAACTGGAGACACATACTGTGTTCACGGATTGGAACATTCAACATAGTAAACATGTCAATTCTCCCCAGATTGATATACAAGTTTAACACAGTTCCTATCAAAATCCCAGCAAGACTTTTTGTAAATAAAACAAAAGATTATTCTAACGTTTTATGGAAAGGCAAAGGAACTAAAATAGCTAAAACAATTTTGAAAAAGGATAAAGTGGGAGAAATCAATCTACCCGATGTCAAGACTTGTATTTACAGTAATCAAGATGGAGGTGGAGGTACAGACACAAACATCAATGGAACAGAATAGAGAATCCAGAAATAGACCCATCAAATGTGACCATGTGTGAGATGCTTCCAATGCTTCCTTGCTTTCTGCAACAGTATACTATATATATGTAATCTATATCATACTCGATTATAAAAGTGCTACCCTTGAGGGCCCCTTTGCTCTTGAACAGCTTCAGATTTTACCCTTCCATATATTTTTCTGTTTGCCCAATTAGTTATCTATAGTCTTTTTTAACAGATATCTGGGTATAAAGTAACAACAGTCCTCCCTTCTAATTTACTGCTGTACTCTGAACGGTCAGATTTAATAGTAGTTTGATCTCTAGATATATACAGAATGTCTGTATAATATAAATTTGATGCTTACCTGGAAGTTGTTCATTAGGCCGTAGGAACAAGGATTGCTTTCACAAGATGAAAAGTCAAAGTTTAATTTACAGGCTGCAGAAGTACAGTTTGTTAGTTCTGTTACAATAGTGTCATTAATGTTCCCAGTGGCATCCCGAACAACACAAGAACCTGAAGCACAAGGGGCAATGAGAACAAATAATATAGCTAATGTTTATATTCATTTCAAAATTACATATACCCACAAAGAAATTATGATACTGACTGCATATATACTTGCTTATAACAGCATACACTGCATTTACAGTTAAGATAGTTTTACTTGGAACAGAATTTGGAAATCATCATGTCCCCAATATTTAAGTAGGGAAATTGAAACTTATAAAGAGTAATGTTCACACATACACTTAAGAACCTTGTAAATATAGTCGTGGAAATGGTATGTTAACAAAACCATTTCCTGGCCTATTTGGTTAAGACGTCCTTAGCAAATATAAGAACATTGTGTTGAACGAGTTCCAAACAGCATAAATGTTTTCCTATACTCCAAATATTTTATATTTGAAATGTGCCAAAGATCAGACTTGAGGTAACATCAATCTTCTGTGAAGGAAAACAACTTTAATATTAATGAATCACAATATTATTTAAAACTCTGTCTCAAATTAAGTCTACCCTGATAAGAAAATATATGGTACCGAGATTTCCTTAAAAATAACACATTGGGCATAGTGAATGGGTATAAATGAAACAAGATTAACCATGTACTGATAATTCTTGATAATGTTTTTGAAGCTGGGTGATGGTTATACTGAGCTTATTAGAAAATGTTCTCTATTTTTGTGCAAAATTGAAAACTTTCATAATAAAACATTTAAAAAGTTTTCTTGAAAAAAGCATTTCATTATCTGCAATAATATATAATGTACAACTAACAGTAATTACCGTTCCTTACACTTCACATATTTTTACTTTTGAAGCACTTTAACACTACTACTGTCTCACCATAAATGAGGTAAAAATTATAGGCATTACAGCAAAAACTGAACAATAAACAGGAAATTACATTTGAAAGGGAAAATATTTTAATGACTAAAGAGAGTACATAAAGTTCTTCATTCTTAAATTTCTTTACCTAACTTTCAGAGCAGTATTTGCAAAACCATGTTTCCTTGAAGGTACTTCTGAAACCACTGGGAGGTGAGGGGGAATCAGAGCCCCGTCTAGCCATAGAGCAGCCATGCTTTTATGTGTTTCATATTCTGATGTTCTACATCAGAATTGTTTGGGGAAAAAACGGTTCCATTGCTTTTATAATTTTATTTATTTATTTTTCCCCCAAAGCCCCAGTAGATAGTTGTACATCACAGCTGCACAGCCTTCTAGTTGCTGTATGTGGGACGTGGCCTCAGCATGGCCAGACAAGCGGTGCATCGGGTGCGCGCCCGGGATCCGAACCCGGGCTGCCAGTAGCAGAGCGCGCGCACTTAACCGCTAAGCCACAGGGCTGGCCCTCTATTGTTTTCATAATTTTATTTATTATTTCCCCAAAGCCCCAGTCGATAGTTGTACATCATAGCGCACTTCCTCCTAGTTGCTGTATGTGGGACGCGGCCTCAGCACGGCTGGAGGAGCAGTGCACGGGTCCGCACCCGGATCCAAACCCGGGCTGCAAGCAGTGGAGCCCGCGCGCACTTAAGCGCTAAGTCGCGGGGCCGGCCCTCCATTGCTTTTAACTAGTGACACAACCACTGGTATAGAGGTGATCTTTATTGGCCCAGCCACTGAATATCAAGGAGAAAAGGCTACTCCTATTGCTCTAAGGGCTACTGTAGACAGAAGGAAATGAGTATGAGGGCCAGCAGTGTTAGAGGGTCAGAAAAAAACAGAAAATGTTTATCTTCAGTAACAAATTATTTTCCAATTTGAAACATAATCAGTAACATCATTCTTTAAATTAAAACTAAATTTTCTTTAGTTAGCTTAGGTATAAGGTATACAAGCATGCTAGGAACTTTTAGGGGAACACAAAAATATTTTGCTTAGCTTATATACACAATTCATTGTTTTTTTCAAAATGAATTTCAGGGATTTCTGTATGGATTATAAGGATAAATGAAATCTAAATCCTTTTTCAAATGTTAATTTAGCCCACCTTGATAATACTAATTATTAGCATTTCTAACTCTTGTGTAGTAAAATTTCAAAATTACATTTAAGCAAATTAGCAGCAGAATTTGTAAAAACCGTTCTGTCATTACTTTCCAGAAAATCACTGAATATATGGCAAAAACGAAGTTTTCTTACTGAAATACTGTGAAAACCTTATATTCTGTAGTCTATGAATTTGGAGTTTGTGATTCTTTAGACTGGTATTAAACTACGATTTACTCTTGTAATATGCCTAAGACATTTAACTGTAAAACCTGACTTTTAGAGTTTAGACATTAAAAACAATGCTTACATTTAAGACTATACGTTTTCTGGGCAAAGTATATAGGTTCATGAAAGTGTAATAAACTTGAGATAATTATATGTAAATTAATAGTTATTAAATTTTTTTCTGGATTAGAATGTTTCAGTTACACAATCTACTATTATAAACAGCCTTTAAAGACTTTATTTTTTTAAAAAAACACCTCTCTGCCATGAAAACAATTCTCTAAAGCAAGCAAGTGGTAGCAAGCACTACCAAAGCACCCCATCTTTGGTAGTGAAATCTCTAAGCTTTGATTCCCTCACCTATAAAACAGGGATTTAGAGACTGGTTGACCACTTAAGTCCGTTCAGGTTCTAAAATGCTATGATTCCATGAATGTAATAAAATGGTTTAAAACCATTTTCATTCAATTTAGTAAGACTTTTAATTCAATGTAGTATGGCCTATTTATTGAAATCAGTTTTTATGAAAAAAAAATGCCAAGCATTGCTTAATGGCCTTGAAATAATCTTCATACAATAAGATTACATGAAAATATAAAATAACCACCATAAATGAAAATATTCAAAAATTTATAGAGAATAAAATGCATTTACTACTACATATGAATTATGTTTTCTATAAACATATCTCAGTAAAATTTAAGAGTTTGCAGATAAGATTTCACATACTTTATTGTAATTAATAAAAATCCTGGAGAAGAAACAATAGAGCATTTGGTGGCTTAGATAACGTCTATAAAATCAATACTAGTTTACACTTAAACCTGTTTTTGAATTAAAATATGCAACTCTGTATCTTTTTCTTGAAATATTTCTGAATTTATAAGTTAGAAATATAATGTCATGAAAATATTTATAGTATATACATTATGAAAGTTCTGAAACACATAAAGAAATGTAACGCATTTACCTACAGATACTGCAATTCCTATGTAAACCATCGTAGTAATTAAAATGGCTAAGAGTGTTCCTTTGGGTATAGCTGACTGAGGATCCTAGAAGACAAGAAGAATTTTTTAAGCCTATTTTTAAAAATAAATATATGTGTACCATTTTTTATATATAACTGATACAGTACTTTATAATACTTACTGCAAGATCACCTGAGATATTTGCTCCAGCCAGAATACCAGTTGCAGCAGGAAAAAAGATGGCAAATACAGAAAAGAAAGTCTCTTCCTCTCGAAAATCTGGTCCAAAGTTCTCATTAAATATTTCAGCTGTAGGGCACAAAATATTTTTAACAATTAATGGATAGAAAATTAGACCATAATAATTTAGGTCAAGAGTAAGTGGTATGTATGGTTCCTGACTTTTCTTCAGTTGAAGTAACTGGTAAATTCTTGACTATTTCCTAATTCAAGTACTGGTGTTCCTCTTTTCCTATATGAGGGAACACTTTCCAACCAAAATGATGATTTGACCTGGGTTATGCTATAACTATTTTGTATACCTTACTAATTATGTTTCAAGCACCTCTAACTTGATTGTTATCACTAGTCCAAATGTAAATCAAAGTATGGATAAACCCCTCAATCTCAGGTCAAAGAAACAAGAAAGGAGGTAGGAAAACAAAAGGAACATCATACTAATCTGGAATGATTTTTTTTTCCTTGCGTCCAACTGTACATCTGTACAGCTTTCTCTATTTCCTAGTGGTGACCTGTTTGATTTTTGAGGCCATTCATCAGGGTTCCAGATAACTGTAGCTAAAGCAAACTGGGTAAAGGTCCTTTCCATTTCAATAATAATAAAAGCTTCAGCTAGTCCTACTGTTTCCATCTATTCTGATAGGCTCTGACACTGAAACAACCAATTAACTGTCATTTATCCATCCATCTATCCATTCGATATTTGAGTATCTACTATGTGCCAGGTCCTATACTGGAGCCATCTAGGGTCTCAAGGTCCTTAGAGATACAATAGCAACAACATAGACATGGTTCCTACCTTCATGGAACTTAAGAGTCTCAATGGGGAGCTAAAAATTAAGTAAATAAATAGGTGATTACAAATAGCAGTAAATGTACTGATGGAAACAGAGTATGTGATAAAGAATGAAATAGAAAGAATCTAATCTGATGTGGTTACAGAAGGCTAAAGAGATATAACTAAGGAGATAATACTTAAGCTGAGACTTGACTGAGCAAAAATCAGCCCTGTGAAGATCAGGGAAAAGAGTACACCAGGAATAAGAAACAACATGTGTAAAGGCCCTGAGGTAGGAAAAAGGTTTAGCTCTTTTGAGGAACTGAAAGAATGTAAAGCTCTCATAGTAAGGGAGAAAATGAAATGAGATTGCAGAGATCAGCAGGGGTGAGATTACGCAAAATTTTACAGGAGTTTAGATTTTATCCTAAGTAACAGAAAGGCAAGGTAGGCTTAGAAACATGCAAATGACACGAGGTGATTAATGCTTATGTGGATGCTATGTGGACAACGGACTGAAGGCAAGAATATAGTTAGAAGGCCCAGGCCCATACTCTGTGCAACTGTGACATTCAGAGGATATGAAGAAGAGAAGGGATATCAGGAGTAATAGACATAGTGACCAGTGAGTTAGGTAGAACATGGTGTCTGACATCAAACAAAACAAGAAAAGCATTTTAAGGAGAATGGGACAACTAAATATAATGTTGCTGAGAGGCAAAGGACTAAAATATGCACACTGGATCAAGCATCATGTGACTGTGACCTTGAAAGACAGAAGCCAGATGAGACGGGTTAAGAATGAATGAAAGAAAACCATTCGGTGAAAGTATGATGGGGAATAGGCTATGCACCATCTCAAACTATCCCTCCATAGATTACTCATTAATTACAGAGAAGAAAATGACAACCTCACAATGGAGAACCTCTCAGGTACCACTTTGACCAAGTCATCCAAGTTAAAACCATCAGTGATGGGAAAAACTGATGTCATGTGAGTCTGCTGATGTGATGCACGGAGGAGGACACATTGTTCATGTAGTGTCCCTGGCAAAAATGAGTAACTTCAATCTATGGAAATAAATCAGACAAATCCAAGAGGAGGGACTTTCTAAAAAAACAAATAGCCTGTACTCTTGAAGAATGTCAATGTCATCAAAGACAAGGAAAAAAAAAAGGTTAAGGATCTGTTTCAGATTAAAGAACACTGAAGATTATGTAAAGAACCATTTTAAAAAAAAGAAGATTGAAAAGATATGACAACTGAATGTAATACATGATCATGGATTGGATCCTGGAATGAAAAAAAAAAGTTGCTATAAAGATCTTTATAGGAACAATTGAAAAAAATTTTATATGAACCATATGTTATATATTAGCATTGTGCCAAAGTTAAACTTTCTGCATTGTCCTTTTCCTTAGTAGATAATGCTTAAGTATTTAGAGTTAAGTCGTTGTGATTTCTGCAACTTCTCTCAAAAACTTTAGCAATCATTGTAATAATAATTAGATATATATGGAGTGATAACACAAATGTGGCAAAAAAAAGAATATAAAAGTGTTCATTATTGGTGAATCCAGGTGAAGGGTATAAAGAATATATTGTATTAATTTTTCAAGTTCTCTGCAAGTTTGAAATTATTTTGAAATAACAAGGAGTAAGTGGGAGGTAAGGACTGGAGAAATTTGTTTATGAAAGGGAACTGGAAAGTGAGGCGGTAACTGGAGGAGAATAAAGACAAGAGACAGCATTTTCAAGGATGGGAATTACTAGAGCAAGTTTATAAGCTTATATAGAGGTGAGAGTTTTGATGCAAGGTAGAAAGTAGATTACCGTGGATAAATGCCTTTGATAAAGTATGGGATCCAACACAGAAGAGGCACTGGTCTTTGGCGAAAGAGAGATATTTCTCATACCAGAAAGGAAAAAGAAGAGGAGAAAATGAATACCCCTATTAGGTAGTCAGTTGAACTGACAAGTTTATCAACATAACCTGTTTACTGCTGACAGTACCTTAGTACAACGAATGGGAGGAGAGCCAAGCAGTATCAACCATCAAAAAAGAAAAGTCGTATTCAAAGTATATTTAGGTTTCTTTATCCCAGATTGAGTTTAGCCCAGATGTGCTAATCTCAATATAATACAATATAAATTATTACTATACTAGATACCTATGTAATACTTTTACAAATTGTCAAGGACCTGAAAAAAAGGAAATGAAAAATTTGGCCTAGCAGATACTGCAATAAACAAAAAATTTAAAAAATAAAATTAAAAAAATATAAAAATAACTGCAAGTAACATTGGTTTATAACATTGTATAAATTTCACGTGTACATCATTATACTTCTATTTCTGCATAGATTACATCATGTTCACCACCAAAATACTAATTACAACCCATCACCACACACCTGTGCCGAATTATCCCTTTCGCCCTCCTCCCTCCCAATACTATGTTCTTCCCCCCCTCCCCCCAAAGCCCCAGTAGGTAGTTGTATGTCATAGATGCACATCCTTCTAGTTACTGTACATGGGACGCGGCCTCAGCATGGCCAGAGAAGCAGTGCATTGGTGCGTGCTCGGATCCGAACCTGGGCCGCCAGCAGCGGAGCGCGTGCACTTAACCACTAAGCCACAGGGCCGGCCCCTTGCAGTTATTTTTAAATTAATTAAAATCGCGAACAGAAAATATATAATTATTAGGAATATTTTTAGACGTAATCATCCACTATAATTTTAACACTTCTTTTAGGAATAAAAGTGGCAAAAAAAACAAATGTTTAAAAAAATGTGTAATGTAAAAGAAATTAAAGTGAAAAAACCATTCAAAATTAGAAGAAATGTCACAAATATAACTTATGAGAGCACAAAATACAAAAAATTATTTACCTAGATGATGCTACTAACTTTCACTTCTGGCATGCCTAGTAGACACATCTTCCCCCACCCAGGAAATCAGGAATTTAGAGCCCAATTTAGAAGTAGCCATAAACACTAGTAATCAGAACTGACATCACACTATCAACCCAGGGCCAGCAGGCACAACTAATAGTTGGGTTTCCTTGCTTAAGGTAAGAAAGAACCTTGAAACAATTCATACCAGAAAGCTGCCCAGCCAACTAAGTCAGTGTTGGACACAGGTCAAACCGGTGCTACTCACATATGATCCAAAGGACTGTGTGTTGTTACCCATCAGAAACAAGATTAAGGAGCTTACACCAGAATGTAAACCAACTATGTCTCCAGGCTCCACAATTTAGTTTAGCTTGTTTTTTTTCTAGTAAAACTTTCTGAAGGAAGAAGTGCACTGATTTACATTCTGCAATTTTTCAGATCTCTATGAATAGCTCTGGGCTAAACAACTCAGGGGAACTGAAGCTAGACCTTTTCTTCCAGGGCTTCAAAACAAGGAGTTTTTGTCAACTGAAGACAGACAAACCTATTACCCTAACAGCTAAGTGTCTCTTCTTTCCTGCTTTCATATTACTTTGCCTCTGCAAAGGTTCAGAGGCGCTGCTCAGTTAAGTGGGGAGGGAAGAGATACAGATAGACACTTTAGGAAGTAATAAATAACAAATAAATTTCACCTGTAGTGAAAATTAGATGCAGAATGAAAAAGGTTACCGAAGATAAAAACTGTGAAAAATTCTCACACAATTAATAATGTAAACTGTGGAAAAACTTAAGTTGCAATTACACCAAAAAACTAATATTTCTAGTTGCTGTCAGTCTTAGGGACTTACAGACTGTTGTGTTTAAATACAACTAAAAGAACCAAAAAGCCAGGCTAAAACAAAAGTTACAATTTCAGTTACAAATTTCCAAAATTAGTAGAGAACAAAAGCACTTTTCCATAGTAGCACTGATTTTTCTACACTCAACTTTTGTTGCTAATAATGAAAAAATGAAAGACAAATACAAGTGATTTTTTTACTCCAATTATACAGCATACATAAAGCGAACAAAACTAAATTGAATTGTCAATTAGTGTTAGTCACTACACCAAACTCAATTATGTTACAAAATATCTAAAATGTACTAAATTTATTTAATACTAGAATTCTATAGTATGCACCTTTAGAAAAATATTCTATCTTTTTCACTTACATTTATAACCGAAGAACCCTTTGGGCTTCTTGCTCTCCAATGGGATAAATGTTCCTATGACGAAGTCAGCAATAGCGAGTAGTAGAATCACCAAAAGAACAATCTGAGCCTGGAATTTTAAACATTAAAAATCAAAATCAAATAGCGTGTCTATACATTAACTCAGTTCCACGAGAACATAACTTTCACGAGGAAAAGGATTTCTGTCTTATTTCCCTAGTGCCTCAAACAGTGCCATGCACAAAATGGGTGCTCAATACATTTTTGTTAAATGAACAAAAAATCTTTCAAGAACTATCCTAGAATGTTCAATACACTGGAGAAAAATGTATGGCAAAAGTAGGATCATGCCATATATTTCTGAAATGAATTAAAGATGTGCATGCCCTCCCACAAATCATAAAGAACTACAAATTCTAAACCCTGTATCATTCTTTCCTGTATCATCTTTTCCCCCGCACTGTACCACTACAACCTTGACATGGAGAACATACTTATTACAAACAAGTTCTATACCAAGTCCAAACACAATAAAAAGGAAGAAAAAGTACAGAAAGAAGACAATACTCAGGATGGGAATTCAAACAGTAATGGGACTGGAAGAAAGGAACAATCCACGAGAACTACCATTTCTCTTCCTCCACTCTTAACCTCCCAATAAAACTGAGCAGATATTCATGAAAAACTGTGTCATCTATGGGAATAAAAACTACTTATATGCTAATCATGTCCCAGGTAATATGAAACTTGATTCTTTTCAGTAAAGTCAATTTGTTAAACGTATAAGTAAATGATTTAATTTTATACTAATGACTTAAATAACAACCTTGGGAAAAATTATTCTTTCAGACTTACCTAATTTTAGCCTGGTATATATTATCATCGTTCATATATAGCACAAATATGTGATTTTATACCATCTTATAAAAGTAAATATGAAGACACTTGGAAGAGACTTTGAGTTCTTCAGCAGCATCTTTGTGGATATCAATTACTCAGGACACTAGAGCTGTGCCGTGGCGTATACTCTCAAAGATACAGAAACATTTTTGGGTACTCTGCCTACATGTTAACATGTGACTTCAGCAATTTTCCCCAGAAACATTGGTACCGGCTTTGGCAGCCATGATGTCTGAGATTTTAATAGCAAGGAGCAAGATTCTCTAACTTCATATGGGCACTAACTTGAAGCTTATTGCCATTGTGCTTTTTTTTTTTTTTTCTGAGGAAGATCAGCCCTGAGCTAACATCCATGCCAACCCTCCTCTTTTAGCTGAGGAAGACCGGCCCTGAGCTAACATCTATTGCCAATCCTCCTCCGTTTTTTTTCCCTTTTTCTCCCCAAAGCCCCAGTAGATAGTTGTATGTCATAGTTGCACATCCTTCTAGTTGCTGTATGTGGGACGCCGCCTCAGCATAGCCGGACAAGCAGTGCATTGGTGCACGCCCGAGGTTCCCAACCCAGGCACCAGTAGCGGAGCGGGCGCACTTAACCGCTAAGCCATGGGGCTGGCCCCAATCGTGCTTATTTTTAAACTGAACTTTTAAATAAATTACAAAAACAATAGTTTAATTTGGGCTACCTAATATATTGACCTAAACATTTCTACATCATGCAAATCAAGATTAGGGGATGGAAGGAGAGGTGGGAAGTTAAAAATTTATAAAGAACTGTGTTTAAGTGGCTCCTAGACTGACTTATCTCCAAACACTCTCCCCTCCTGGAACAGAAAATAACCTTATACATACACTTCTCTGAAAATGGTCACTTAAGAACCTTAAAATCAAAAAGTATTACAACATTTTAGAGCATTCCCAAAACATAAGCTCTAACAGTTTGTTATATTAAATAATTACAGATGTTCCAATGATAGATATCATTACTTACTTTTGCTTCCCACTCCATTCCAGCTACTGAGATACCTAAAAGGATTACAACTGTAATGGCTCCAATAATTCGGATATCATTGATTTCATCTATCATAAGTATCGAATGTTCCTAGAAAAAGAGAATTATAAATATAATGAGCAATATTAGTTATTTTAGATAAACTTTTTTTTGTGTGTGTGTGTGTGAGGAACATAAGCCCTGAGCTAACATCCACACCAATCCTCCTCTTTTTGCTGAGGAAGACCAGCCCTGAGCTAACATCTATTGCCAATCCTCCTCCTTTTTTTTTCTCCCCAAAGCCCCAGTAGATAGTCGTACGTCATAGCTGCACATCCTGCTTGTTGCTGTACATGGGACACCGCCTCAGCACAGCCGGACAAGCAGTGCGTCGGTGCGCGCCCGGGATCCGAACCCAGGCCACCAGTAGCAGAGCGCGTGCACTTAACCGCTAAGCCACAGGGCCAGCCCCTAGATAAACTCTTTAATTCTTTTTGAAATATTTTAGAGACATCACAGTGCCTTACATGTAGAAGTTGAATAAATGCCTTTTAAGTGAATGAATAGGGAAACCTAACGAAAAGGAATAAATTACTATTTACTATTGAGGTGTCATTCAAGCATCTCATGACATCAAAAATATGATAAAATTATTAATACTATATTTAATGCAGACTTAATAAGTCAAAAAGAGAATTTCTAACAAGCAAATAAAAAAATCATAATATGACTAAGTCATACTAATAGTTAGGATTTTTTAAAGTTACAAAGCAGAAATACATTTTATATTCATTGTGATTAATGACTCATGCTTTTAATGGTCTTTTATGTTCCATAAGGAAGAGAGATGAAGACACTTTCATGCAGTTGTCCAAAAACACACACTGTTCCATTCTGAGCAAAATTATTTGTGGCTTAATATCAATAACATTAAAAACATATACTACATGAAACAATGAAAGAATATGAGCTCTTAATGATTATACTGCTGGCTTACTTCCTTTTCCCCATCCCTTTGGCCTACACAGGTAAGGTCAATGTCAATGTAAGTGCCAGTCCTTTTCAGATTTTACACTTCTTAATGGACCACATACCACTGTAGAAGAACAGTTACAACCTGACACGAACAACTACAGGTGTCACTCGAGATTCCTCTCATTTAATAATACTGAATCATATTTCACTTCTACTGCTTTCACTACATACATACTGACTTGTTTCAAAAAAGTTCTCTTTTGAACTCTAGAGCAGTATCATCAACCACCTTCTTCTGGCCAGCTCTACTTAGATATATCTCTGGTTCCTCAAATCAGACATCCAAAACTAAACTGTCCTGTGTTTTCTATCTCACAGTAAATAGCATTTACCTTCCATCTAAATTCTTTTTCTTTCTCTAAATTTCCACATTCCATTAATCATCAAGTCCACTTATTCAACTTTTAAAAAAATCTCTCAAATTCACATACATTTCTCCAGCCCCATGGGTCACTGTTTTAATATAAGCCACCATCTTCTCTCCCAGGATAGCTACAAAAATCTTTTAAATGGTCTCCGTCTCCGGTTGTGATCTCTCAGATCCCATTCTCTAAACTGTCATCAGATATCTCTTTAGGCCCCAAATCTGATCATGGCCCCTAACTTCAATCAAGATAAGATCCAAATTTAACAGCAAACAAGACCCTTCTAGGGCCGGCCCCGTGGCTTAGCAGTTAAGTGCACGCGCTCCGCTGCTGGCGGCCTGGGGTTCGGATCCCAGGCGCGCACGGACGCACCGCCTCTCTGGCCATGCTGAGGCTGCGTCCCACATACAGCAACTAGAAGGATGTGCAGCTATGACATACAACTATCTACTGGGGCTTTGGGGGAAAAAAATAAATAAATAAAATTTAAAAAAAGGCCCTTCTTGATTTGATCCTTTTTTCTCTCTCTATTCATAAATCTCTTGCCACTTGGTGCTCCAGCCATACTGAAATATTTCCAGTTTTTTTAACACACCATACTCTATGTCTTCCAGGTCTTTGTTTCTTTTTCTTCCCTGCTTCTCTCATAGCACACCCTACCTCTCCCATCTGCCTGCTAACGTCTAGATCCTTTCCCTGGAAAACTCTTTCTTGACACTCCTCTGCTACCCCATTCCTGGATGGTAAATTAAGTGATCCCCCTACATGTTGCCAAAGCCTCCTACAATTACCCACTTCTGACACATTATTATAATTTTTTTCTTTGTCTATCTCCCACACTAAACTTCTTGAAAGACGAATTTCGTGTTAATCACCGCTTTCTTAGCATCTTACACAGTGAGTGACACATAAGCCCTCAATAAAGATTCGGGAAACAAATGACTAGAAGAAAGGTTAATTACCTTAAGTAACTCCACCACGGTTTCTGCAAATCCAACCACGTACATAGCAACTGCGACAGCATTGGCAAAAGCGAAGATCAGGCCAATTGCACCACCAAATTCTGGCCCTAGGCTTCTAGATATTAAATAATATGCTCCTCCTAAAGGAAGATAACAAAAGCACTAAGTTAGGGTTTTAAATGTCCAACAATCCTTTTAATTACACAAAAGAGCTCACAAAGCACATGCCTCCAGTGAGCACAGCAGTTAAATTAATAGGCAAGTGGGTGAGCATATTTTTAGGAAGAAACACTCAGAAAGAATTCTTTACAACCCACTTCATTCATTAACAGTTCTCAACATTCAGAGAATTCTCCCCATATGAAATATAAAATAATTCTGCTATTTACATCCCCACTTTCTCTTCTAAAGCTTAGATTAAAATGGGCAACAGCCTCCTCCTCATATTCATAGATATCAAGATCATTTCCCAATGATTTTCTTTCTTTTTTTTTTGTGAGGAAGATCAGCCCTGAGCTAACATCCGTGCTAATCCTCCTCTTTTTTTTGCTGAGGAAAACCGGCTCTGAGCCAACATCTGTTGCCAATCCTCCTCCTTTTTTTCCCCAAAGCCCCAGCAGATAGTTGTATGTCATAGTTGCACATCGTTCTAGTTGCTGTATGTGGGACGCGGCCTCAGCATGGCCGGAGAAGCAGTATGTCGGTGCGCACCGGGATCCGAACCCGGGTGGCCAGTAGCGGAGGGCACACACTTAACCGCTAAGCCACGGGCCGGCCCCTCAATGATTTTCTAAGTAATAATTTTAATCTTAATGTAACTTTTAAAATCACAGTTGACATGATTTCAGTTACTTAAATTAGTATGGTAATTTGCTAGTAAGGTGAATACTAAGGCAAAAAAAAAAAGTATCACAAGAAACTTAAAGAACAGCATATAATGGCATCCTAAAGAGATATAGTTTGTATTATAATAAATCCTGCCTAAATAGCAGAGTAAACAAAGACATTAAATGAGCTTCATGAAGCATGTATTCTAACTTAAAAAATAAATCAGTATTATGATTTTTGAATCAATCTAATGCTTAGCTGAAGTCTCTAAGAGTCTTCTAAAATTCTGATTTATTCTTGGCCTCTAGGTCATAATCAAAACTTAGTTTTACTTAAGTTACATTAAGTTATATACATTTTTCTAGATACTGATGAAATATTTCATACTTAAGACCATATAATGAAATGTCATTTAACATCTGAATATTTCTACTGTTCTCCCAGTATAATGAAAACAAATGCAACAAAAAATTCTATAGTTTGAGAAAGTACTAAATATATAAACTTCATTTTGGAAATACCTCTAATAGGTTTTGTAGTTAATTCTATCAAGTCTCTCAAAATAGTCTATACTTTAAACCCATCCACCTAAAACTTCCTTAGTTATTCATTTTACCAATTAATAATTTTTATCATCTTGGAAATTCTGAAGAAAAAAAATGCTTCCTGAAGATTTAGTATGTCTTGTTTTTTTATGAGACGAAATGACTTAAAATTTTTCCAGAAATATTTTTCAACACTAAAAATCCTAATGGACTTATATAATGACAGTTTTTTATGTCAAATAAAGATCTTAGAGTAAGTTCTGAAGACATTAAATCACATTATAATTAATCACAAGGAAAATCCCCAGAATACTATAATTATCACAGCCTATATTTAACACGTTTTCAAAACTGACATAAATTATTCCATTTAATCCCAATACCAACAATGAATTAAGACAAGTATTATCTACCCTGATTTTATAGATGAGAAGATTAAGTCACAATGAAAGATTGATGTTAGTCAACCACTTATGTGTTTTAACAGTTGACAATATAAAGTTTAGAATGAGAAACATCACCAAAAGGACCTATAGAAGCAAGGAATTCATTTGTTATGTGGTTTAAAGTTTTGATTTTATGAAATTTCAAGTCTTTCTATTACTAAGAAGAAAAGAAAAATATATGTGAAGATGCATTTAACACGGGGAAAGATAACGGGAAGGGGAAATTCACCTTGAGAATGATGAATAAAAGTAGGCAAATTCTGCCATTTCAACACTATTTTAAAATCTTCTACAAATTGGGATACCTAAAACTTAAAACCTAAAACCCAGTTTCATTACTTTTTAAAAGATTTGTATTTTTTTCAAGAAAATAAAAAGTGACACATGGCTAATAAAGAATATAAAGGCATCTGCTTATCTTCCTATGTTTTTATTCCTGATGAAAAAGCAAAGTCCTCTGCTCTATTTCTTCTCACTTCCACTCCCGCTTACTCCCAGTTTTAAGAACAGCTTTCTTCCTTTTTTTTTCCCTTAATATCAGAATGGATACTATTAAAGATTTAGTACTCTCGAAGACTGGTATTTTTACTAATCAGCATAGAGTAGGTATATCTTAAACTAAAATTTTTATTTTGTTAAATTACACATTTTACTTAATTCTAGAAAAGTACTATTGTCATTCCCATTTTACATATATGAAAATTAAAATTAAGGCTTAGCGAGGTTGAGTAACTCGACCAAAGTCACACAAGTAGTAAGGGAAGAACTGGGCTTAAACTCAGGTCTCCCTGACGCAAGTGCTTACCCAGTACAACGTGTATGATGAAATTAGGATTTTTGCTACCACTGAAAATGCTGAATAGCATGATAAAGAATTATGATCGATTAAAAGGCATCAACAGAAAACAAAAAAATAACTAATTTGTTTCAAAAAAAATCTACTGCTCAAGCAAACACAGAAGTCAAATGGAAAAAAAGATCCTCATGGGATCTCATAATGTTGCCATAAAATATACTAACTCTTGAGTGTAGAGGACACAAATGAGTCAGATACCAGAGACACTAAGCATAACAATACTATATATATTATATAACATATTGATTTGAGGATATACGTCCCTGTTGCTCTCACTAAATCCCTCATCAGTAACCAAAACTCTGACTAGGTTATTCAAGAACCTAAGATAAAAACAGATTATTGGCCATAGAATAAGTCTCAATAAATTTCAAGGAGCTGAAATGAAACAGTGAATATTACCGACCACAAAGAATTTTAAATTAAATGTAGGGAAGATTCCTAAATACTTGTAAATTATGCAATACACTTTAAAGTAACTCATTGGTTAAAGAATAAACCACAAGAGAAATTAAAAAGTATTTTGAGTTGAATAAGAATGAAAATACAACATATCAAAACTAATGGGATATACTCAAAGCAGGAATTACAGAGAAATTTATAGTTGTATATGCTTATACTAAAAAAAAACAAGACAAAACCAATGATCTAAGCTTCTACCTTAAGAAAGTAGAAAAAAGAGTAAATAAAATCTAAAGGAGAAAATAAGTAATAAAGAGTAAAAACCACTGATACAGAAAAGAATAAAGAAGAATCAATAAGGCCAAAGGTCATTTTTAAAAACATTAATAAAACTGATAAACAATGAGCTAGACATGAACAAAAAAGAAAAAGAAAGAAAACCCAAATTAGCTGAATCAGGAATGAAAGCAGGGACATAGCACTATAAATGCCATAGCCATTAAAAGGTTAAAAAGACAATATATTAAATAATTTTATTGCAAGGAATATGCAACTTAGATGAAATGGACAAATTCCTTGAAAAACAAAACTTGCCAGAACTGACAAGAATAGGAAATTGAAAAAATCCTACAGCTATCAAAGAAATTAAATTTATAATACAAACCTACACACACACACACACACACACACACACACACACAAACTATATGCCCAGACAGCTTTCCTGGTAAGGAAGAAATAAGATCAATTTTACACAAATTCCTTCAGAAAACAGAAGAAGAAGAAATAATGGCCAACGTCCCTTGGTATGAGATAAACATAATCCTGACACCAAAACCTGACAAAAGTTATTACAAAAAAGAAAATTTCAGACAAATACTCCTCATGATCACAGATGCAAAATCCTTAACAAAATATTAACAAAATATTAACAAGTAAAATGCAGCAGAATGCATGATATCTTTGACCAAGCGGAGTTTTTATCCCACAAATGCCAGGCTGTTTTAAGATTCAAAAAATCATAGATAATCTGTGATAATAACAGAATCAGGGAGGAAAACCACGTAACCATTTCAACAGATTTAGAAAAAGCATGACAAAATTCAACATCCTTTCGTGATAAATATTCTCAGCAAGTTAGAAACAGAACTGTCTCAATCTAACAAATGACAACCTCAAAAACCCCACAGTTGATATCTTACTTAATAGACATATATTGAACCCATTCTCCCTAAGACTGGGAACAAGGCAATGATGTTTATTCTTACCACTTTTGTTCACCATTGTACTGGAGGTCCCAGCTAATTCAAGAGATTAAAGAAAAAAAAAGAGAAAATCCTAAAGATTGGAAAGAAAGAGTATAAATCATCTCTATTCACAGACGACATGACTATTTATCTTTACCAAGGTCACACAATAGAAGGCCAAGATACAAAAGTCTACTGTATTTCTACATACAGGCAACAAAAAAATTGGAAAATAAAATTTACATACCATTTACAACAAGAAACACGTGAAATACTTAGGGATAAATTTAACAAAATATATGCCAGACCTCTATACTGAAAAATACAAAATATTGCAGAGAGAAACAAAAGAAGATCTAAATAAATGGAGAGATATACTATGTTCATAGACTGGAAGATTCAATATTTTTATTATGATCATTTTTCCCAAATGGATTTTTTAAGACTGAAATCCCAAAGCCCCAGCAAGGTTTTTGGTTTCGGTTTTGTTTTGTTTTTTTGGCAGAAATTGCTACAGCTAATTTAAAAATTTATATGGAAATGCAAAGGACTGAGAAGAGCCAAAACAATTTTGACAAAGAACAAAGTTGGAAGTATTATGAGTTAAATAAAGCTAAGCATCAAGACAGTGTAGTATTGACATAATTGGCATAAGAGACGAAAGAAACAGATCAATGGAACAGCATACATTCCAGACAATTGTTTTTCAACAACGGTACCAAAAATAATTCAATAAGGAATAGATAGTCATTTCAATAAATGGTGCTGGAAGGAGTGGTTAGCTCTATGGGGGGATGCGGCGTAGGGAGGAGAGAG